TTGGCAATGTAATCCCAGTGTCTCTTTACAGGAAACAGCCTCTGAGGGACAATCACCTTCCTTGAATGTCTAATGAAGGGACTCTTAAAATCCCTTGCAGGCAAGCATGGGGAGATCTGTCTAAGGAAATGGGAATGTCTCATCTTTCAAAAAAGTATCTCACTTCTCTGCTTCTTTCAGGGCAGGGTGTGCTCACTTCTAGCATGGGGCTGGATATTGTAGCCAGCCCAACTTGCATGCCAGGCCTTTTACTAATAGGGACATCAATCTCTAGCTAAGCTTAGTAATAAATTTTGCTGTCCAAATGTGCTAAAGTCTGTTATCTCTCATAGTCAGAAGTTCCCAGTGGGCCAGAATGTGACTCAGTCCTCTGGGTAGGGTGGAGGAGAGAGGTGAAGGAAATGGATTAAAATCTGGATTTATGTTGTTAGTGAAATAAATTTGGCAGTATTGATATGAAGAGTTGTGTTTCCCCTGCATTCCAGAGCAGTGCCTGCCCAAAGGCTGTAGCATACTCGGCTCTTTTATTTGTGCTTAGACCATGTTCAGGAATGTCCTTCTGACAGTTTCATTATTGGCAATGTAATCCCAGTGTCTCTTTACAGGAAACAGCCTCTGAGGGACAATCACCTTCCTTGAATGTCTAATGAAGGGACTCTTAAAATCCCTTGCAGGCAAGCATGGGGAGATCTGTCTAAGGAAATGGGAATGTCTCATCTTTCAAAAAAGTATCTCACTTCTCTGCTTCTTTCAGGGCAGGGTGTGCTCACTTCTAGCATGGGGCTGGATATTGTAGCCAGCCCAACTTGCATGCCAGGCCTTTTACTAATAGGGACATCAATCTCTAGCTAAGCTTAGTAATAAATTTTGCTGTCCAAATGTGCTAAAGTCTGTTATCTCTCATAGTCAGAAGTTCCCAGTGGGCCAGAATGTGACTCAGTCCTCTGGGTAGGGTGGAGGAGAGAGGTGAAGGAAATGGATTAAAATCTGGATTTATGTTGTTAGTGAAATAAATTTGGCAGTATTGATATGAAGAGTTGTGTTTCCCCTGCATTCCAGAGCAGTGCCTGCCCAAAGGCTGTAGCATACTCGGCTCTTTTATTTGTGCTTAGACCATGTTCTAATGCTGGGACAGCAATGGCAAACCCCTGGCACTGGTGACATGAGGTACAACAAACCTGACACTGGGCATCAGGAAAAGTGAGTTATCAGAATAACCAAGGAAGCCTTGCAAAGGGATAGAAGCAAAATCCACAAGACCAAATTGGCAGAGCTATTGGCAGAGCACTTCCTCATCAAAAGAAGAAATCAGCTCATTCTGCCACAACCTACAGAATGGCAGCAGCTTCAGTAACCAGATTTTTCTGAAGACTTAAAGCCAGTATTTGCAAATCCCCTCCAAGCTAGCAAGTCTTTGGAGTTGTTGGCACAGAACTGCACTTAGCAAGGAAATGGCCACCTCCAGTATTGGATTTGGTGTAATGTGCTCTCAACATAGAATTGTGGGCATAAGGCCAGGAATGACTGGATGCTGTTTTGGCACCGATAGAAAAAAGGTGTCTGGCTCTATCCCCTTCTGAGTATTCAATAGCAACACTGTCCAGTGATTGTAGTGCTTGTGAATGGAAGGTGGTCAGATGTGTGTGCTTTCTCCTTTGGACTTGGTATCTCTTGTCAGGCTGGGCTATCAGTGCAAACTAGATGAGGACAAAGTTATTGGTCTTAATCTCTGTGGGAAGATGATCCTCTCCTTTTAAAGCCATTAAACTGGAATGTATTTTATGTTAATAACTATAGACTTTGAACATCAAGCCACTTGTGCTCTGGCATGGTGGTTAGACAATGGTTCAGTCCCAGCTATCTCAATATGGAGCAGGAAGAATTGGGACAGACACTGAATACAGGGTAGGACAGCCATATTTTTTACTAGTGGCACAGAAGCTGTGTGACAAATGGTGTGGCTTGGGAAGCAACAGCACTGCCTTGACAGATCTGTTTGTTTTCCACCTGGCTATAAGGGCAAAAGAGGTGTGCTTATAGAGGTGTGATTCTTCAGGAATAATGCTTGAAGCACTGAGTGAGCTTTGGAGAACTGTTAGAAAAAACATTCCACTGCAGCTTCCCCTGGAGCAGGTAATAGCTTGTGATCCATAGCAATGAAGAACGGGGGGGAAATAGGGCCTCAGTTGAGCCCTGGCTGCTGACTTGAGGAGGAGATGGATCAATTCAAGTGTGTATTTCCTGACTGTTACCAAGTCTCTTCAGCTCACAAACTCCTTCTCGCAGACTTCTTGCCAAAAATTAGATAGAAACTAGCTTTCTCCACTTTTCCTTGGAAGGGTTTTCTACATGGAACAGTAGTATGACTGTTTACTTTCTCCAAAGTAGAATCAGGAGAGGCGTGATCAGAGGCTACTGACGATAATGCTTCTGAGTTTCTCAATGTTAGCTGTTACCTTTGAACATGGAAGGAAGGGATTTGTGTCCACCTTATTGAATTCCGATTAAAAATGCAGGAAAAATGAAGCTTTTCCTGTCTCTCAGCTGTTTGAAATGGCTGTACAAACAGCCAGATTAATTTGGCTTGTAGTAGTGGAAGCTAGAGCTGTTGGCATCTATCTAGGTTCCTGAAAACTGCAGCCTCTCAGCCAAACTTTTCCATTCCTGTTGATGTTTTTAGGTGTCAGTTCAGCCCTAGATGTCTGTAAAGGAAGCTTTCTAATGGTGCATCCTGAGCCCTCAGGCTATTAGCAGGTAACTGGACATCCTTCTTAATTTGGGATGTCTTTGTGTTAGCCCTCTCTTGCGGGAGGAGATACCCCTTAGGCTTGAGCAGCCAACTGAAGGTGAGCTATGACAGATTTAGTGACAGAAGCTGTGAGAAACTAATCTGAATCTTCCTCCTGTGCAGCTGTGATGTGTTAACTGGCTTTGACCTTAGTCCCCTGTATGTTGTGAATGACTCTTCAGCATCAAAGGGCCCCATATGCTATTCCTGAAAAACTAGTATTATCTTGTTCAGTGTTTATAAGCACAGGATACAAAAAGAATAGCCAAAGGCCTGTATCTTTCACAGGGTTTATAATGTAGGAGGGAATCCTCTGATGGAAAATGTCACAATACAAGTAGTGATATGAAGCTTTGATGGAAGGCTTTGTTTTTGACAGGAAGTGTGTAGTACAAATGAAGGGGTTCACAACTGTGGTCCTACTAGGAAAAATCACAATACTTTCTAGGTGCCCATACCACATGCTGTTGCACTGTCTGCTGCAACCTTTTATTTCAGTGAATCTTTTAAGAAGATGGAGAGACTTTCATTAGGGTATTCCAGGATTTTTCATACACATACACAGAAATTTCATGTTCTGCCTGTGTATTTGATGAGGTGAATTCTTGATGTTTGGATGCTGAATGGCTTGGATCCTGCAAATGTGCCAGGCATTGACTTGTCTTGCTTAGTCTTTTCTGAGGGATTTTTTTAGAATTAGAAAATGAATGTGTAACTTGTGGGATGGGATGTTAATGTCTTGGCTTTCTTTTCCCAGCTGAACCACTGCCTTTGATGGACTTGTGTCGGAGAGCTGTGAGGCTTGCCCTGGGCAAGGAGAGACTGAATGAGATCCCTACACTGCCACTGCCAGCTTCCCTCAAGAGCTACCTGCTCTACCAATGACCTTCATGTTCAAGGACAGAGTTGGAACCAAGACAAAATACTGGAGCTGACCCACTGAGGGTTCTCCACCCTCATGTCATCGCTACTGTTAGAACTCCTTGGCCAAATATTCCTGCCACTGCTTATGTCTCCATGTGCCATTACTGGCAAGCTCTCAAGTAATTTTTTTTTCACGACCAAGTTTTTTGTTCTTTGGAAGTCACTTCCCCAGCACACTTACAAAAGGAACATTTACAGAAGCTCTCTGCTTCCCTGCTTCTCCTGAGAAAAGGTGGTGTTGCTATCTTTTGGGTTGTAGAGCCTAGGAGTGAATGATTTTTTTGTATCAGATAAAGGGAAGAACATAGTTTGGGGGAAGGGAAGGCATTAGGAATAGAAATGTTAAGATCATGGAATGGAAATGTTAAGAATGGAAAGGCACAGGGTGGCCAGCAGAGTGGGGAAGAGTCTGAAATACTAAGAAGAATTAATTGCTGAGTTTTGAAAAACCAAAAAAACCCCCCACCTTCAAACCCTGAAATACCAAAACCAAGAACCCTTCCACCAGGACACTCCTTCATTTGGAGGTTATGTTGCTGATGTCTGTAGCTCTGCCAGGACTTCTCACCATGTTCTAATGTTATTTCATAGCCATTGAATCCTGCTTTCTTGTTCATCACCACTACTTTCTCAATTCTCATGCTGCTTTCTCTGGTCTGCCTATTAGTGGGTTAGCTTCAGTTGATTGAGCAGTCATACCATGTCTTCACCTGCCCTCTTTTTTTACTGAAAACTGCAGATTTTAGTCTGGAATGAGAGGTTTGTTGGTGATGTGGGGACAGGGAAGGGACTAATTTATGTAATAGGGTGAGACCTTCTGAATGAGCTGCTATAGGTCCTGCTGGCTTACATGTGCTTAGTGTATAGCCTGTTCCATGTTAAAGCTTTAGAGAAACATACTAATGTGTTTATCTAAGGGATCTGCCAGGGAATTATCTTCCTAGATAAGCTGCTTAAAGTCATGCAAACCTGGCTTTGTTCTGGCATAGACCACGGGCATAATCTCCACTTAACTATGCAGCAGG